GCCAGACCATGTTGGGCCTTGTAGGCCATTGTGAGGCTTTGGGGCCCTACTTTGAGAGAGATGGCAAGCCCTCAGAGGGTTTTAAACAGGAGAATGAATGATCTGGCTTATGTTTTAATAGGATCATCCTGGCTCTTGTGGCCAAATAAAATTCTGTGACGCAAGTCGTCTTGTCCAATTTCACATATAAGGAACTCAGAGGAGTAGAGTAATTTACCACAGTTCCCATTTACTAGCGAATTAGTGGGACCAGGATTTTAATCCAAGTTGGTGTAATTCAAAAGCTCACACTTTTCCCACTAAACCACACTGCCTCCCGATTGAAAATAGATTTGTGACCTCAGCTGGAGTAGATGAGTTTCTTAAAGTTTGTGGTGACTGCTTTTCTCTTTTTCTCTTTCCTCTGGAATTCCTTGGCCCCTCTGGTGAGGCCACCGTGTTGCTTAACTCCGGAGGAAACTGCTTATACCATAAGCCTATAAATGCATTCTGTGGAGGTGGGCAGTGCACAGCCAAATTGGCCATTTATAATGGCCTTGTTCCCAAGGGTAGCTGAAGAGCTTTGTGTATGGCTTTGAACTCCAATTAGGCCTGTAGTAAAATCTGTTTGATCAAATGTTTGTATTTACGCCTTAATGTATCTTTCCATTTCTCTTTTCTTTGACACATATTCTACGAGCTATCTCTATCACCCTCTACTCTCTGGCAATGCACTAGTCCAACAGTATGATGTGCTGGGATGGAAGTGACAATATGGCAAAGGTTTCTGCTCTGTGTGGGCAGCTTAGGCCCTCAAGTGTGAGAGAAAGCCTGGGGGAGTGTAGGATGTAAGCAGGTATACACAGCTTCTGATTAGAGGAAGCAAAACACATTTTATTTGATGAATATCAAATTGAAGGAAATGAGAAAGGGTGCTACCTAATTGTCATCAAAACTGCTGCTTGGTTTAATTTAGGCTCAGCCAGATTTTCTTGTATGTCTTAGGGCCTAAGGCTTAGGCTCTTGAGCCCTTGTTTATGCCGAAACTAATTTTTTTAGTTTGTTTGAAAGATATCTCTTAGACTTTAACGATTCAATATGTAAGAAAATACCCTGAGATTCAGAGCTTTAAAAGGAAGTTTTGATTCACCATTACTTTATTGTGTGACTTTAATGGAATTATGTCTTGTAAAGCTGTTTAGCATTTCATGTTCCAGAATTCTGCATAGAATTCTCAATACCCTAGAGCAGCTTGGCTTTTTTTTTTTTCTTGAGTCTTATGACTTTAGTTACAAAAACCAAGAGAAAATCATGGCAGCATCCCTTATAAGATTAACTAAATAATATTGTGATTTTATAGTATTAGACTGTATAAAATATTAGTGCCAGGAATGTAGTGCAATGTTGTGGAAAGGCAAAGGTAACTTGCCATTCGAGTCTTTAAGATTAGTAATAGTAATTACAGAACATAAAAGCAGTACAATTACAGCTGATTTCTAAAATACATTTTTATTCCCCTTAAATAATTGGACAAGAAGTACCGAGATCAGATTTTGGTATCAGATCTTATTTCAAATTCACTCTGAAGTTTTAGATGAGGAAGGGCTGTGCTCGATGGAAGCTGGACCTTTGTTTTTGTGGCTGTTGCTAAGCAAAAATGGAGTGTGCAAAAAACAGTTTGGCAAATCCTCACAATAGGTTAAACATAGAATTACCATGCAACCTGGGGATTCCACTCTTAGGTCTATATACCTCAAAGAATTGAAAACAGGTGTTTAAACAAAAATTTGTATCCATGTGTTCATAGCAGCACTATTCACAATAGCCATGAGGTGAAACAACCCAAATGTCCATGGGTGTGTGAATGGATAAGCAAAGTGGGCATATTCATACAATAGACTATTATTCGGTCATGAAAAGGCAGAAACTGATACATGCTGCAACATGATCAAACCTTGAAAACATGCTAAGTGAGAGAAGCCAGTTGCAAAAGACCACATATTATATGATTCCATTTATGCAAGATATCTAGAATCTGGCAATCTGTAGAGAATAGCAGATTCATGGTTGCCAGGTGGGGAGGAGGGCTGGGGTGAGAGAGGAAAAGGGAGTGGCTGCTTAATGGGTACAGGGCTTCTTTAGGGTCATGGAAATATTTTGGACCTAGATAGAAATGATGGTTACACAACACTGTGAATGTACTAAATGTCACGAGTGGCAAATTTTATGCTATGTGTATTTTAGCGGTAAAAATAATGGAGTGTGCTACTTTTGAAATGATTCCTAATTCTTTGTGAATCGTGTGACAGGGTGGAGTGAGTCCTAAAAATGGCATACGTGGCAAATGCAGGGCAAAGTGATGGCAGCCGTTTGAGGTCTATAAGGTGGGGCTTTCGGACATCCTGGTTGAGATCGCTGGTGTGGCGCTCTGCCTCATGTGGACACAGCAGCCACAAGGTTGGCTGCTCTGGGAGCCCCTGGTGCCCTGCAGGACTGACGGCAGTTTCAAGTGTAGCAGCTTGTTTGAAACTCTCACATAAAGCCATGTAAAGCTGTGGAATACTGAGCTGTTTAAAATCCAAGCATACAGAAACCCAGCAGATATAAATTTTAACTGCAGTGAAGCCAGGATAATTTCAGTTTATCCAATGAAAAGGAAAATAAACTTTCATGTTCTGGTGGTGCTATAATAAGTTTAGTGAAAGGTGCATGGAAAGTTTCTAGTTATTGCTGCACACTTTCTTTTTTCCTTGTCCTTGGGAGCATGCCACTTGCTCCACTTCACACCATGTTCTACTCTCAAACGGAAAAAGCTTTCAATTTTTTTTCATTTAGACAATGAAAGTAATATTTAATCATTAAAAAAATTCATAAAAAGTAGAAGAAAGATTTTTTTAACAGGAAAAAACATCAGCAATCAGGGATAATGCTGTTGATGTTTTGGCATGTATTCTTCTGGTCTTCTTTATATGACTATATATGCACCTGTATCTTGATTTTCACTGGAATCATACTACGTTTATCAATATAGCATGAACATCTATCATACCAATATCAATCAACATCATACTTTTAGTGATGGTATGGTGTTCCATTTTATGCACATGGCATCACTGATTACTCCTTGATCAGTAAATGAGCCAGGGGTTTTCCTTGCAGTGGCTTCTTCACGGTCACTTAGCCCTCTGTCAAAGATGGTTGGTGACTCAGGGTTTTTGAAATTATTTTCTCTTACTTTTTTCTGATGAATAGTGATAGCCCTCAAAGCAGAAGTAATGGACAATAAATGTGATAGAGGTTCATTAAAGAATAAGCTTAACACTCACATTGCCCTTAGGAAGCTTTTCTTGACTGAGTCCCACTCCATTGGATCACTCCATCCTCTGTGTCCCAACAGAAGAGGCATAGAGTAGTAGGCAGGAGCGTCGACTTTTGAGTTAGTCTGCATGGGTTTGCATTCTGGCTTTTGTGACATTGGGTGGACTTCTTACCATTTCTGTACCTCAGTATCCTCATTTGTACAATGGTGGTAATAATATAATAGTGCCTACCTCCTAGGCCAGATAAGATGATCCATGCCAAAAGTATCTGGTAGCACAGGACCTGGCACCTAGCTAGTACTCAACAAATGGTGGAGGTTGTTATTGCTATTACTCAGTTCATTTAAGTGGCCCTACCAGTTTGTGGCTCTGAAAGACCATCCCTGTATGCTTGGACAGTTCCAGTAGATTATAGATTCTGAAAAGTTCAGATGCCAGACTGCCTTTTACAGCGTTTTTCACACAGTGAGCCTCCTGCCAGTATTGCTAATTGATCATCTGATGTAACTTTGCTGAAATTGTGGGACCCTCTTGGTTCAATTTTGCCTTCATTTCCCATTAAAAATACAAAAGCAAAGCCAAACTAAAACAAAACAAAAACCCCCAGAAAACTTGCGAGGTGGATGTAGGTGGAATGCAGTTCCTTCAGATAGTCAACATTGTGGCTGTGGACTTTTCTAGACTCTATCTAAGGAAATTCTTGACTAGGAGAACCTAGAATTCTTAGATGATAGAGATAATGACCAGAAATATCTAGAAGGAACTAAAAGCATTTATTCTGAGAGACCTGTCTATAGCAAGCAGAAGAGCAAATAAAATTTTGTATACCTTTGTTTATTTAAGATTCTTGGGAATTGAATTATTTCTGGTAAGTCAATTTTCTAGACGGTGGAAGCTTATTCATGTAACCACCATAAGAGTTTTCATTTTAACCATTTTGATAACATTCTTTCTAATATATGGTGCATAGTTTACAGCTTTTCATACAGAGTTTCATTGAAAACAATTTAACCAATTTGTTGGGTTTTAGGATCTTCATCTTTAAAACATTGTTGTTGTTTGGATTTTTAGTTCTGCCACATTATCTCAGTGTCATTTGCCCTCTCAAGACCCAGACAGCTCTACCCTTACATATTTACATAACTTTTTTAGCTTTTCATTTTTTTTATTATTTTTTTCTCAGTTCCAGGATGTGCCAGTTTTTACTTTTTATTATAGAAATGTGCATGAATGCTTTCTCCATCCCAAAGCACCTTTCTAATTTATTGATATATAAATTTTATACCCTGGGACACCAGAAACCCAAGTCTGTCACTATTTTATATAAGGAAGATTAATAGGCATTGAATAAATTCATGTACTTAGTGAGAGATCTTTGACCATTCAAGGCCTTTAAGAATTTGCTTCCTGGTTGCATGGTGTTATTTGGTACGAGTTTGACTCTGGGCAAAAATGCCATTTTATTTATAAATTTATAGCTATATATAATAACTATAGTGCCTATGATTTTCCATTCTAGCATTGGTGCCTTTCTGCTGCTCCTAAATTAAGTAGAGGAATTAAGTTAAAGAAAAATAATTACCTTTCCTCTGTGTGTTTGTTAAAAGTTTTATAAATGGGATTTGGATCTGTTTAATGGGAGAGGTAAAATACTGTGTTCTTAGACATCGTTTTATGAATATTTTTCCATATTCATTACAGAGAAATATTGATGAGTCTAACTGTTGGGAAACTCACAGACCAAGAGGTTATAACCATTGCACGTCACTACCGTGTGCCTGATGAATCGTGTGCAGATTTGGATGTCTTAATTGCACAGGCCCATGAACAGCTCAAGAAAAATAATTTTGAGAATTTCGACAAATTGCTTGCTAACTGTGTGTACCAAGATCGAGAAAAGTAAGCTTTTGTTTTATTGATTCTAATAAATCATTCAAGTTTCTATGAACCTGAGTAATAAAGGAACTTATATTTTATCAGAAAGGGTGAAAAGAAAATTGACATGTCTCATCATACTCTGATATTTAGCAAAGCCACTTTAAATAATTTTTGGATAAGTACTTGGGTACAAATATTTCACAGTGACAGTGAGCTTTGTTGATGGAATAAGGGAGGCCCTGTATCTTCAAAAGAATAAGCTGCTCCCTTGCATTTTCTTTTAATTCTCTTCTAGAAGCTCTCAACTGAAACATAGTAAATCAAGATGCAAGAAGATTTAATTCTGAGATGTTATCTTCTTCCATTATTTTAGTGCTGACTGGGATTTATAAATGTGACTTTTATAACATACAGGTCATGGAATTTGCAAATAAACTTTTACCTAGAATTTCTTTCAAATTATTTCTTCTTGGAAATAATGAAGCTCAGCATAATGAATTTCTGATACCCTGATCATGTGGGTATTGAGCTTCATTAAGTCATTGTTATATGCAATTGGATACAAACATCTTAATATGTTTTGGTATTCATCTTACTTGCACACCCAATATAGTGGGGGAGGATGTAAATTTATTGGTTTCATCTGCAGTTAGCAAATCTTAGTTCTCACTCTAGCTTCTAACTTTGTTGCTGCACACCACTGCCATCTCTCTTCCCTGTGACTCTGTTCCTCATCCCCAGACTTGAAGTCTTTACCTAAGTGGCCAGCTACATACCCTAAATATCTTTGAAGTTCCCATAGTTTATCTTAAAAATGAATCTGATTTTCCCCTAATTCATAATACATCCTCAGTGAGTTTTTATAAAGATGTAGTTTTCCTAAAATCTTTAAGCTTCCCTGAGCCTCATAGAGGATGTATGGCCTGAGCTTTGCATGACGTTGGCCCTGCCTTCTACCCTGGTGATGCTTCTCCTTCAGGGTGAGAAGTGTGACCCTCCTTCACTAAAGGAACACTTCTTGGGAATAATGGAGCTGCTTGATCAGGTAGCCTGAAGTTCCTCCAGATCTGGCAATGCCGCTTTGATTCTAGATGTAAATGTTTTAATTGCAAAAAGGAAAGCCCACGTTCTTTCCTGTTAGTTCTGATTTTGTGTGACACCTGGAAGAGCATTGGCTGAGTGAGAACATTGGCCAAGCATGTCTTTGCCCCCAGCAGGCTGGAGAAAATAAATGTTGGGCTGCTCTAGAGAAAACTACTTGTATCCAACAAAATTGAAGTGAATGTTGAAGCCTCAGCTAGGGCTTCCAGGTTATAAGGTTTGAGTCCAAGGAAAAGACCAGAAAAATACCCTCAAGTCATATCATACTTGTGTTGGAAGCTCTATATGCCTATCAAATTAAGAGATGTTTTCAAATATCAGAACCATTTTTGACTAGTGGTCAAGAATGCAGATCAATTACTTAGAGCAACACTTGTGGTTGCAGCCTTAACAGGCTGTACTGTCACCAACCAAGAATCTGCATCTTGATGGAAAGGCCTTTGTAAGGACAGAATCTGGTGACTTCTGAAATGGAAAAATTTGGTGAAATGCTATATGACTGTTTTTCCTTATTGTGAACTCCAATACCAGTTTTTATACTTACTTCTTCATGCACATTCTTAGGACATGTGACATCTCTATTTTCATTCTTATAGCATGTAATTGTTTCTAAAGGGATACAAGGTGTATAAAAGCCCATTTACTTTGTTTTAATACAGAAAAAAAGTATTACCCAGTAAAGACATCAGAAGACTGTGCAAGTCCTCCAGGTTACCTTTGAAGGATGATTTTCTAGAAACTTTACTCTCCAGGTAAGCGAGAGCTCCACCCATGGCAGGGATTGTCCTGTGTATTTTTGTGTGGGGGACTATTCCTGGTTTTACAACTACCTTTAATTACCATTGATTTACCCTTGACTGTTTTGATTATATTATTGATGACATATTTCCATTTAAATGTTACAAAAGGAAAAGTTAGTCATAATTGTGAATGCTAGAGAACCTGTTATAAGTTATTATTTTATCTTTTTAACATGAATACTCTCATATCCATAGGTTCCTGGGACAAAATGAAATGTACAACTTTATTGGTTATGAGGAGGTTAGATGTAAATTTCAGGGCAGGTTTTTCAAAGCAGTAGTTCCTGATAGCGAAAGACATGTAGTAAGAGCATCTTGGGTTATTAGCATGGCACTCTGTCTTGCTAGAGCACCAGAAGTAAAGTCTTAGAGATTATGCTGTCATAAAAGGAGAGCACAGTGAACTGCTTTCTAAAACACATCACTTCTTCTGTTGAACCTGAGTTTTGACTTCCTGGCCCCTCCCTCCTAGCCACCTAGACTCTGGCTGTCTTTTATGCTTCCTATGGCATCACTCTAGCTCCTTCCCTGACTTACATATCTTGATAATTCTAACATTTTGGGCTGTGTTCTAGGTATTGTGATAATTGCTTTGGATACATTATCTCATTTACTTTTGAGAACAACTTGCTGAAGTCAGAAGTATTATCCTTCCTATCTTATATATAAAGATGATGAGGTCACATGAAGAAGAGCAGTGACTTGATCCCTGAACCTTTCAAATGCACATCCCCTGCCTCTAGTTATTTTGAATTATTTTCTACAAATAAACAGGAGATTAGGATGTCTTTACAGTTCTACCTCCTTCGTACTGCCTGCATCCTTTCCATTTCCACCATCATCACTCTTGAATACTGCAGGGCCACCACATTAGTCTTTCTTCCATGAGTCTCTGAATTTTTTAATCCATTTTTACATATTTTCTAAGAGCAAAAATCTGTGTTATTGTGTCACTTTTCTACTCACAAACCTTCTATGGCATATTTTTGCTCTCTCAGCAAAGACCAGCTTCCTAACTTTGAACTAAGCTCCTTCTCCATTGTGGGGCTTAGGACTGTCAGTTGGAACACTGTTCTCATGCAGGGGCTGGAGTGGAGAGTCCTCATCTGAGACAAAAGGAGAAACCAAAGAAACAGATAAAACCAAATTCTGTGTGTGTGTGTGGCCGGGGGGGGGGAGAACTAGGGTCCAAGGTGTCATGAGAGGAATCCAGAAGAGGGCAAATATGGTTGGATGTGAGTGTGCATTGGATTGACCCAGAGTGATTTTCTAGACTATCAACTCTATTTGTTTTGAATTTGTTTTTGTTTTAACTCTATTTGCTTTTGTTTTCTAGTAGCAGCGTGAGGGATAAGTAGGTCATCCTGGTGTAAAGAACCCGAGATGAGATAGACAGGCCTAGGAGTCAGAGTTCTGCACAGTTATCACACCCCCAGAGCTCCTATCCCCGTTGCCAATAGTCTAGCCAAATGGGCCATTTAGCACATACATATACCTCATGCCTTTCCACTATTTTGCCTTTCCTCTTGCTGTTTCTCCACGAAGCCCTGTTGCATTTGTTTGACTGAAAATTGGAGTTATTTTCTCCTCCTAAGAATTCTCACAGCACTTTGTATGTTTCTCTTTTTGTCCCTTACCTTGTAATGAAGGGCTGTGACTTGGCCTTTGATTTGTTCACATGCAGACACCTGTTTGAATTACCACCTATAAATAACCAGTGGGTTGTCACATATTGACAATTTTACCCCTCCTTCCTTGTCTCTCATATTCTTTGAGTCCACTTATTAGCTGTGTGATCTTGTGCAAGAGTTTCGGCCTGCCTGAACCTCAGATTCCTTACCTCTAGAATGAGATTTACAGTACCTACTTCCTAGTGGTTCTGAGGATTAATTGGGAAAACATACATAAAGTGCCCAGCACAGTACCTGGTGCTAAGTATTGATTGGTGACTAGAAGAGAAGTTGGAGTGAGGGATCATAGACCACACACTCTGACTTAGAAATGAACTAGAAGGAACCTGTGTTTTTCTATGTAGAGAAAGCCTTATTTTTCAACAGTTGGATTTGAATGCCTTTCACACATTAAGCTGTCTTCTAGTCAGGAAACCCTGGATGTTTATTAGATTATCTCTTGATGGCCTTGAGGAAGAGTTGTCCTGGAAAGTCCAGTAATGTGGGAGCTTGGCCTCTGGAGGACCTAGATATTTCTTATCCAGTGCTAAGGCCACCAAGTCATCATCCTCTCATTCTCTCAGCAGACTGTTTTGTCTTTGTCTTTACGATGTGACATTAAATGCAGAAAGACTATTTCACAACTTGTTTCGAAGCCGTCTCAGTCTCTGAACACATCTGCCTCCAAGCCCAGCTTAGCTTTGAGGAGGTCATCCCTCTCAGCCACTAAGCAGACCATGTTCAGTCTAACTTTGCCTCTAATTGTGCAGTGACCCTTCTCCACACTCAGGGGAAACTTCAGACTAATCAGATTAGAAAATGTCTCATTCCCATTCCCCTCTCCCTTCAATATGCCCTGCCATGATTTGGGTCACATGCTTGGTGTTTTGCATCATCTCCGCAGATTCCTTTCAAAGACTGCCCTAATTCCTAATGGGCCCATCAGCCCACAGCTTACATTTATATTCTGCATTCTTATTGTTCCCCACAGACTCCACAGGGCTTTACAGAGCCCTGACCAGAGTCTCTTTGTGCACAGCCCTCCCCTCATGGCATGCTAAGCCAGAGCCCCCTCTGACGTCTGCAGTCTCCTGTGGGAGGCAAGCATGGAGTTTGTTGATTTTGTTCAATGCACACTCTGCCCAGGGGTAGTTTTACCTGCCTCAGATGGAGTTGGGCAGCTGTTAAGCAGCCATGTAACTCTGCTGTGTGAATTGAGATGAAGAGCTGAAAAACAATATGGCTAGAGGGTTGGATGCTTTCTTAAGCCCAGTGATTATTGCCCATGTATTTCTCCTGACCTTGTGTTTCAGTACCAAGATTTCTCTTCTACTCCATTCCCATTTTTGTTGTAATTCAGTTTGATCTTTCCTTATTAGTACAACTCAATCAGGAATCAGGACTTCAAAATCATTTCACATGCAGTTACCTCAGCCCCCGTCAGTTTGTGCTGTGGGAGCTAGTATACGGTCATCTTACATACCAAACAAATTCATTTCACTAATGTACAAAGCATCAGACTTATATGTTCTGTGTAGTGGTAACTATTACTCATTAATAATAGGAGTGACACTGTATTGATGTAGTGCTAAGGGCCTTAGAATATTTTATAAATTCTTGAGCATGTTAAAAGGTACATTTTAATTGATGGTGGGCATTATTTCTCATTTTATAAGAACATTGAAGTATAAGGAGAGTCTCTCACTGAAAGAGCATGCTGCAGGCTAAGATGAGTCTCTAATGGAATTAGAACTACAACTCCCTAAGATACTTTAAACCTTTGCTTCTATCTGGGCTCCCAGGGATAGGGACTAGATCTCATTCATTCTTTGTAGCCTCAGAGACTTGTCCTGTGCTAGTGCACTGGGCACAGGGAAGAAGAACATGGGCTTGGTGTCCAGCAGACCTGCCTATGCAGGCCAACTCTGCTATTTCCTGGCCATGTGATTCCTAGACATTTACTCAACCCCTCTGAGCCTTCATTTGGAAATTAGTGTTCCTCAGCACTAATAAGCAAGACATCCTGATTCTCAAACCATAAGAGGTGGAGAGAATTCTGAGGTCATTTCATTCTGTGTTCCTTATGGGACTGGGCAGTAAAGAGGCAGCCTTCTCCCCTAATTGTGGCCTTCTGAATCTAGACTTGGAATAACTGAAAATTCAAGTGCAACTCTTTCCCCAGCAGCTTTGCCCCAAGCTAGTCTTTTATAGCTGGCTTTGGGTTCCATGGAATGCCTTAGAACTGCCCTCCCAAGAGAGCTGGTGCCTCATCCAGAAATATCAGTTAAAATGGAAAAAGTTAACAGGGCTTTAAAATCATCTCATTATAGGCTGCCCAATCCTGCCCCTTGGCTCCCTCCCAGAGGCAGGGTTTGGACTCCTGTTATTTCACCTAACAATACCTGGCAGTGAGGCCGAAGGGCACTGTGACTGCTATTGTTGCAGAGTATTTGGTGCACTGATGAAATTTTCAGAGAGAAGCCGCTTCTCTCTCTCTCTCCCTCCCTCTCTCCCTCCTTCCTTTCTCTCCCTTCCCCCAACTAACTTTCTCTCTCCTTCCCTTCCTCCTCTTTCTCTCCCTCTGTCACGCCCACCTACCTACCCAGATGCTTTCTGCCTTTTCAAACTATAATGTGATTTGTAGTTAAGGAAATTTTTTTTAAATCCCACACCACGTGTACCAACAGAGCATTGACTATCTGTACAATCTGTACTTGGCAACTGTGACCCACCTCACCAAGGAGATGTGAGCTGGATTCCCAATTGGAATTTAGAGGCCTGACTATTTAGAGATAACCAGAGTTACTCGTTGGCAACTTGAGCAATGCCATCTTGCCAACCTTAAGTTTTTGTGACCAACTGATGCAGGGACCCACAGCTCCACTTTTTTGCAAGTGTCTGGCCTTGAAGATTTAAACCAGGTATTTCAGGGTACACCCTTGGGTTCTCTGGGTAATGAACTGAAACCAAACACAGCTGAGTCAAAAATGGGTCTTCACTGTCCTCCCTCCCTTCCATCCCATTTTGCTAAATGATGAGATGGCCTTTGCAACAGAGGGGAAGCAGGTTCCTCTTCAGCAAAATACAGCCGCCACTAAGCCTTTTACCTCTGCAGAGGCTAGAAATAAAGCAGCTTAGCATTATTCCCCATGGCAAGGAGATGGATGGCTTCTGCAGTTTTCAGGCCATTCATCATTTTGGGGAGGGGGAGCATGAACATCAGTCAGATGTCACATTAGACTTAGTTCTAAGAACTCCCACCTAGCAAGGCATTGGGAGGCA